AATCGCTTGTTCCTTTCTTAAGTTTATTCCTTTAAAACTACCGAACCAATTTTGATAAAACTGCAAATTCCTAATGTGAAAGTTAATTAATGAGACACTAAAGAATCATTCACACTCCGATATCCGTGTTCTGAAGCCCATGCAGACTAACATGATTATTGCTTCATTTCAACGAAGTTATCTACTATAACGAAATTTAAAACGTACGAGCCATATTTAAAGCCACCTTTTTTGAAGTCGATTAAAATACTCAATTACTAATAGAGGCTAGTTAGTTTTGCTCTCTAGTTAATCCGTATTCGGCTCAATATAAAGCGTATCGATATGCGGTTATTTTAACACTTTCATCTATTGCAAGCACAGTATATTTTATTAAGTTAAATATAGGTAATAATTTAAATATATTTTCCCCCAAATAAAACATGTAAATGGTGTGTAGTATATAGTAAAGCAATTGTGACGGATAAATATCACTGTATGTTTTTCAAATATATAGGTTAATTATTATTTTAATAAAGCGTATCCATCATCATCATCACCAGCCTTTTTACGTCCCCACTGCAGGGGCTCAGACCTTCCTTATGCATGGTTAAGGAGGATGGGTCATGACCCTCCACGCTGGCCCAATGTGGATTGGAGGGTATTAACGACTGCAAATGCCGGCACGTTAAGCCGGGACCAATGGCTTAACGTGCCTTCCGAAGCACGGAGTAGCTCGAGATAATAGATAATAGAATCGAAGAGATTTTTTGGTCGCCCATCCCGTGACCGACCCTTGCGAAAGTTGCTTAATGATAACGATCGCGGGCTGCGGCGCTTATCCACTACGCCACCGAGCTACTCTAAAGCGTATCCACTCTAACATAAACAAATCTCTCATGAAAGAAAAAAAAAATATTTTAAATTTCAAAAGTTCTTTGTGTAAGCTAGCTATTATTATTTTTTCAATGCAATTGCCCATAAAGCGCTATTTTTTTAATCCATTGTAAACACCGAAAGTGAGTCTTTAAACACGTGTTAAATAAAAATTATGTACTGAAATCCTTTACTGCGCACGTGCTTAAATTTTTTTTTTTTTGGCCGAGCTTCAAAGAAATTTAAAATATGTCAAACTTTAGAGGCAAAAGTATTTCAAGGAGCCTAGAACGAAGATTTTCAAATAAAAATGTATGGACACGAAAACATATTCAAATATCACGTTTAATTTTAACAAATAATTTTTACCTTTAATACATACTTAGTTTTATTAACCTATATATTTGTATTATTATTGTTTTCAATTTGGCCCTTATTCGTAAAACCTTACTTTCCGCACTCGTATTTTAAATAACTATTTTATTATAAGTATAATGTTAATAGTTATAGTGAACTAGTGAATCGATGAATTGAATTATAAATGAGAGAGGGAAAATATGGCGTAAGAAAGGTCTGTGCCATATGGTGCTCCTTTCTCTGACTACACTGCAAAGGATTAGATGTTAAGTTATACATGTCTACGAGTGATTGCATCACAATTTACATGAAGTAATTGCCAGTAAAATTAAGGAATAGGTAGAGCATATTGGCCTAAACTTTAAAGAAGAGACAAGAAACGGAGATTACCTTAGGAATATACTTTTGCCCAGACATCTGCCCCGAATTCGGGGAAACACTTTAATACATTAAATTCCAAATATTATATTATTTGGAATACTAAATCGTCTTATCATAAGAGTTGTTCTAAAAGTATTTTAAGCTTTTTAAAGTTCAAGTGTATTATATTGATTTCTTATATTTTCACGCGTTCCATAAATGAAACAACTTTTAAACGATTTAATCGTGTTTGATGTTTTGCACCCTTTACCGGTTTCGTATATGACTTATGTAAAGGGTCCAAAACGTCAATAAAACTAAATACAAACGCTTTGAAAACGTTTAAAATTATCAGACAATTATCTTTAAAATAATTAAACTGTTAATTATATCCTTTTAACGATTTTGGACGGATATAGAGGTTGTATAATTTTTAAAACCAAAGAAATGTATCTTTTGACTTACTGACATATATTTTTAAAATATATTTCAAAATGTGCATCATGTTAAAATAATGACCGGTTCACCATCGGGTTTTATCGATCATTGTAACTGAATACTTTTTTTAATGGTGCTAACAAAAGATTTTATCAAATTCGTACTCGATATCAGCGAACGGCTAAATTCTTTCATCTCGCAACAAAATGGTACGATAACGAACGCCATCCTGTAATCAGGTTTCATTTTAAAGTGTCTTGAGTCGTTTGAGTCCCGAATTTTCGTGCTCGTTATCTAAGGTACTCACGATCATTTTGATCTCTTTTTATTTGATACAAGATAGAATTTCGGATTCTATTTGATTTCGCAACAACGCCAGACATTTTTGATTTCTTGAATTTACGGTTGTCACTTCGATAACATCTTTATAGAATCTGAACTGCCTCAGTGACCTAATTTGCAAGTCATTATTGATGGCGGTCTTATCATATTAGATGTACCGATTTCAATTCCCGCATTTCCATCGTGTTACTCGATTTGCTTCGATTTGATCGGCAGCGACTTTTCACTTTACTAGCACTCAACTTTGAGTACAACTGGGGATACTTCTGTGAATTGATCCTTACACACAATCTTACGCTGTGATAAAACACTTAGAAGTATGATTTAGTTTTTTCATTTTTAATAACACTAATCTAATTCAAAGCATGTAATTATGCTGTTATCCAACAGTGATATTATGAACTAAGCAAATTTATCAACGTATCTCCAATTAGTTCGATGAGTATGCTACTGAAACTATTATAGAATTACGTCACAGAAGACAAACTAATTAAAGTCGAAGTCACGTACTTCATGCTGAATATCCAATTAAATATACATAATGCTTTGAGAAAGCCCGTGAATATATTATTAGAACCTCACAAACTTTTCCATTTATAACATTAGTATGGGGTAGGATTATACGAAAGAACTTTGCAATACTGGTACCCATTTAACGGAAAGTGTTAAGTGTTGGATACTTAAAATTATCTACTATTATGGTGTTTGGGTGGATTGCCTGAACACTGATGACAATGCGCTCAAAAGAAAAGTACTTTTTGCTTCTAGCGCTAAAAAATTCGATAGTCTCGGGTAGCTCAATGCTCTAACCATAGAATATTTCCAGTATAGCATTGTGAATGCAAAATTGATGAAATATAATATTAAGAACAAATTTTCTCTTTAATGAAAGTATAAAATATAGTTGTAAAAATATTTTTCCCTTTCAGCTGTTTCGGTGGATTGCCTGAACATTGATGAAAATACGCTCTGCAATAGCGGAAAAGTAACAAGTTCTTGAAAAGATCGTCAGTCCTGTTAGGTCTTAAGCAGCACAGTGGTTAGAGCAGTCACACGGATTGCGAAAACTTGTGGGTTCGAATCCCACGTCCAGGGACAAAGTGGATTCGTTAAGCATTTTTACTATGAATATTTTCCAGTATAACATTGTAATCGCAAATTGATCAAATATAATAATTTGATACAATTTTTGTTTTTTCTTGCGTTATAAGAGATCAATAAAATATTTTCTTTTTATTAACCTATGCATCCCATTTGGTCTCTAAACAGTATCTGTCAGTTTTCATTATAATATAACAGCTCAACTAGCACTTAAAATTTTCACGCATTTAATTTTTTTTCCCTATATTAGTAACTTTCTTTTGTTTCCTTTCCATCAAAACCTTCTTTGTTATCAGAAACACTTAAAAAGAATCATTACGTGGATTGTTCAGCCGTTCACAAAGGATAAGGATAACAAGAGAATAACATTATTTTTTTATTTAAATACTAACTAGCTGAGTTTGGCAAACTTTTTGGCGCCGATTAATAATTGTATTGCTTAATCATTACTTAAATTTTAACCAAAAATATCGTGGTAAATAATTGGGATAAAAACTATGATATCTCTTAAGTTCAATGGATTATGGTACGGACTACTTACATATTATATAATTATGTATTATTTTTTTTAAGTGTAGTGAATGTATGTTTATCTAATCTTGTAACTGAATTTTAAAGCTATCAAGCTTGAATACAGGTTTCTTTTATATGACAATAGATTAGTAGCTAAGTTTCATAGCAATCTTATGGTCTGTATTTTCAACGATTTAAAATACAAGTATCTACCTAGCGACCGAGCTTTTTTCGGTATTTTTTTGGTAAATGAAACCTAGTTATATCGATTAATCGCCCCCAAAACCACCAACATACCGTATTTCATGATAATCGTTGAAGTAGTTTGCTTTTAGCTTCTGGCTATTTAGAAAAGTTTGTCACTGTTTTTTTTATAAAAAGCCTATTTTTATTTTTCTCGATAATTAAAGAAAGTATAAATCACATGTTTGTTTTGTAAAGCAACGAACTAATTTCGCTTAATTACAATTCTAACAGGAACATTTGTGACAACAAAGCTTAAAACAGGAGCCGACCTTCCCTTTAATGAAATCTAAATGCTCGGCTTAGCTTGCTATATCCGGCAATAGGGAAGAAAACATGACAACAATATGTATCAGTTTATAAAACAAACTGCCAAACCAATTCAACCTTACGTACTTTATAAAAAGGACTCTTATTCTGTTTTTAATACGCGTAATATAAGTTTGTAGTAGGTAGATCCTAAGAAGTGTGACTTATTTAGGGACTTATATGTTCGCAAAGGCAATTATCCCTATACGAGAATGTATTGCTGTAGGATGAAATTTCTTAATATTACACAAGTTACATCAGGAGTTTCTCGGAAACTTTCTGTAGCAAAAATATTGGATGTACCCATAAAAAGAAAAGAGTACTATTCAACTTAAATATTTATTGAAAAAGTATATATATATTGATAAAAATAGACCTTCAACCAAAACTGAGACTGAATATTGTATTTGTGTTGATTTTTGTGTTTCCTGGAATAGGGTAGAAGCCCCAGTTTGGCCATTAGCAACTTCTAAGGCGATCTGACTAACGCATTGGCAAATCACCATTTGCAACAACTGTTGTGCAACATGTAATATGTATTAATGATTTATTGAAATTGTATTTTGTTACATAAAAATGCAAAACATTAATTAGAGAGAAAATATTTATATTTTGCTGAACTAGGTTAACCTGTATGTCATGTAAAAATTATCACTATGCTTAAAGTATTTCATTAAGTATAATATCATAATGAGTTAAGGTATTATAATATCGGTGACTAAAGTAACCAAGCGATATTATATGTATTACATGTATTGAAACTTATTTTTACATTTCAGTATATTATCAATATAGCTTGCTAAACACTCAAAAACAATCAAAATTATAAACTAGGTTATTCAGTATTGCATAAATCTTTTATTTTTGAAACTGTTTTGAAAATATTGTAAGTCATAGTATACAAAATAAATAAAATGAAAGTACTAATCAAAAATAACTTAATGTAGCGTTTTTTCTTAGGCGTCTTCATAATCAATATAATTATTATATCTATTTTTGGTCATTTTTTTAACAGGGTATTCAGTATCACTGGTCTTGTACATGCGAGGCTTTTTGAAATAGCAGTAAGTAACACATTTTGGGGGAATGGCTGCCATCGTGCAGTTTTTTAATGCGTGACCCGCTCCAGCGTAATAATCACATATGTTGACCTCTTCCCAGCATGTTTTGGCTGCATTATCGTATTGATGTCATTTGCTTACAAAAGTGAAGTCTCTTACAGGGCACGTCCTTGGTTATTAAGGCCTTGCGTATTTGTGCAGGAACTTTGATTACATAATTGCAGGTCTCAGCGTCTTTCTTTCCGGACTTATGACTAAGAGCAATAGAAATTAAAAATGTATCGACTGTCATGCCTGGATTTTCGTCTGCAAGGTTTTGATGAAAAATTATGTTAAAGACTTCAGTTTCTTGCATCGATGACGGCGCTCCGATTACCATTAATCTGGGTTTGCACTTATGTAGCTCACCAATAGCAAAACCAGAGATCTTCAGTTTCTTCGCGGATTGCTTTAATTTTTCGATGTCTTCTTTGGCATACGTACCAATGATAACACCACCGTTTCTAGTCTTACGCAAGCCTCTCACGTGCTTATTCTGTTGATCAGGTCTAATAATGTTTTGGAGAAGGACTTTGGTTTCCTCGTTCGATTTCATTTTATCTTAAGAATAAATTGCTATAGAACTTGTTTTATTGGGCTGAATAAAATCCATCAAACTTTTTTTAACCATATCTGCAAAGGAAACCATTTTCGTTTCTTGTTTAGTATTATCTTCGATTGTTTCTTTAAATCACGATTTATAAGTGATTGTTTAATTGTACTAATCGACACATCTGATCATAACAATAAATGGAATAAATAAATGGAAATAAAATTGTTAATAATAGGTCATAATCTTAAAATGGCCAATTCATCCGGTTCATCTCGCCCGATAGTTTTGAATTTTCGTCTGTTAATATCTTCACGTCATGTCATAGCTTGAATTTCGATTGTATAATAATGTTTCATAGGTTGAACAGAACCTTAATACAAGTTTTCGAATAATAAAATTATAGCAAGCGTGTTAAATTATCGAATTCAAATTTTATCGAATTCAAACTGAGACTCCGTGCTTATAAAAGTTGCGTGTTGAAATTTATCTACAATGACATCGCTAAAGATATTTGACGTTAATAACTCATACCCAAAACGGTCACCGGAATAGATTACTTATATAAGTGCGATATTTTGCTATGACAACACAACCAATAACTTCGGGTTGCTGTTATAAAAATTACGTTATGACTATCGCCAGATAAGGATTACTTTAAAATAAAACTCCAAGATTAGTTTGAACGATACGGTAAGTTCCAGGCGCTTTAAGAAAGATTTTGAATAATGCAAGGGTACTTAAATATATTTGGGGTGACACCTCATTGAAGAGAAGAGAGCAGTTTTATCTGCAAACATCTATAGCATCTATATATCTGCAAATATCTTTGCTTTTTAAAAGTTGTGATAGGAATGTTGTAATTTCTACTATAAATGCTAAAGTAAATTTTGTGTTGTGAATGTGCGAATGTATGTAACTTAATATAAATCAAATCTTAAAGTTAACGAGTAAATTAACAGCACTCTTGCTGGTTTTTTAACCGTAAGGTTATTTCTTAATGGATCATAAAACACGCTGGAGGCACTACATAATTGCTCGCTTGGATAATTGAGCGGGGAAATAGTAAAAAATTTGCAAAAATATATGAACCTTTGTTATATTTCAAGAATAAACAGTAACGCCTTGTAGTTGGTGTCGAGACTTTCAATGAAATAAAGCTTTTGAAGCGGGTTTTATTTGATTGATAATAAAACTGCGCTCGTCGTCGAGGTCGAGATTTTTTTCTTTCGAACTGCTGTTTAATAATTCAGTAATTATAAATGTACTGCGGACACTTTCCTACTTCCCAAATATCTACATTAGTGTAACCATATTCACATCATAAAATGCAAATCTTTGAAATAATGCGTATGAAGGATATAAGCAAAATACTATTATTATCAGGCGTTGTTGCAAGAGCATAATATGAAAACAAAAATTTTGAATAACTATTTTGGGGAATTAATTATGTAAATTATACAGGATGATAGAAATGCAAATGTTCTGTAACAAAATCATGCCTCATATCATAATGAAGGATGTTTTGTAGGAAATACTTATATATCATTTTATTTTATTAGTTTCTTAGATTTCTATGTCTAGTCTAGCGAACATGGAACCTGAAGGATTCAAAACGTCTGAAAAATGTAATAATATTCCCAAAATACAAACGATAAATTGTTCAAAATTCATTTCGTCAAAATATATTTTTGTTAACTTAAAACTGTGTCAATCTATGATTATCCAAAATTAATTACATAATTCAATTCAAAGACATCACTTACAAATTAGAGGTTTCATAATTTATAATTACTTAACTACGATTACGACTTGATTATTAATTCAGGAAGATGTTACACTGAATCTTTCTCAAAAAAACATGCCAACTGGAATTAGAAATTATCATGTAAATATATACGTGTTTCGCCTTACAGGGCCAATCACTGACCGTAGGAAAAGAGAATACGTGAACTGAGTTATTCTTGTATACTTCGATGGTGAAATTTTTAATAGATTTGTTTTAAAAAAACTACTTATCAGATTTCGACAAAATTTTAACATACATACAATCAAATATGCGAGATTATGACGCGTGGAAAAAGCTTATTTTTTTCAACTGATGCATAGTAAGGTTAGGAGAACCGTATAATATGGCTCTGTTTGCTAAACGAGTATGAAATGTGAAGGTAGTTTTAGTTCTAAACAAAGACTTAGCCCTCTAAACAAACATTTGAAACTAAAAAGTTACAGTTGTAAACTGCAAAGTCAACAGTAACACAAATATTGTTGAACACGACAAACTTGTTCAAATCAACATTGATCGTTATAATGAATACATCGATTCATAATAACACCACTCATACAATTTCCCAATAGATATACACGGTCGTGGAGACTTACTAGAATATGCATAATTAAAAACAAGAAGTTCACTTTCACTCAGGACACCATATGTCTTATTCTCACGTCGAAAACGCCCATTGGACGATATGACTTTGAAATTGATACACGTCAGTGCAAAACTAGTAATGACAGTGAAATTTTAATCGATGAAGGTTCCCATTTGTTCCTTGGCAGAAGTGAAGATCACACGTATCTGACGAGGCGAATGTTTGATACTCGATCGAGTGAAAACGGAAATGTTGACTTAAGAACTGCGTAACAATTAAGTGTCATAAAAAAATTGGATTTATAGAAGAGGTTACTCGATAAAACTCTCAAGGCAAGTATTTTCAATTTTAACTATACCTAATAAAAGATCTATTAAGGACAGAAATATATTTAATAAAGACGATGTGTGAATTGCAGATGATGGCCAAAGTGAAGGCGCAAGGCCTGGTATCTGATTTGATGCCAAACATCAAATTGATGCAGGCTGCTGGTCATTTTCTCTTTAATTACCATACAGGTGCGTACAGAAATTTTTCAAAAGGATTAATTAATGACAAAAGATCTGAAAAACTAAAAAAATAATGTTACATTAAATTTTAGATAATTCTGGAATGTCTACACTTCTGAGGAAGATTTACGCCAGCGTCCATGCCGTTTTGATTGTTATTAACTTTATTTGTATGGCTGCAAATATGGCTCAGTACTCCGACGAAGTGAATGAACTGACAGCTAACACGATTACAGTGCTGTTCTTCGCTCACTCTGTTATTAAACTTCTCTTTTTCGCAGTTAACTCCAAAAGCTTCTACAGGTAAGAATATCACAAGAGTATATAACCTGGAATATTTAGTAGAGCATTCGAAAGAACGGAAATTTTTAGTTGCTTAATATTTAATCTTCTGTAAATCTTTCGAAGAATAAAAGAGCTAAAGAGTTTGTTTGGTTGAATAAGAACAATTGGTTCGAATTAAAATAAATAATAATTTCTTTTCGTCATCTAATGACTTAGCGTCCGCTACTTCCAATTTTTGGGCATCAAGTAGTGATTTATCTGCTCCATTCGTCCGGCCAATGGATGGTCGGTCAAACATCATCACTAAGACGTAATAGACGTCTCAATCTAAGATCTCGTATCTCAAGGTGGTAAAGTTGATTTTGTCCACCATTTTCATTGCTAGCATTTTACCTTCGAGACCTAAACCTCTACGACTGTTTATAGCAAATGTATGCTATTGTTTGATCGAGTTCTATAAATATAAGGGTACATTAATTTCACATTATGTTGCATGCTTACACTAGTTATGCTAGTTCATCTCCGTATAGATCTAATTTCTAACTTGTTGACCTGATTCTTGTATAAGTAACTCATTCGAAATTTAACGCTAATTTATTTCCGTTTATTTCAATTTAACTCCTTAGAATAAAAGATGAATCTTTATAATGCGACACCTCATTAAACGAGGTAGGTGCGCATTTAACAAATAACACTGACAGAGCGTCACAAAGAAAATTCATTTCAAACCAATTTTAATTTAACGAATGAACACAAAGGCTTTCTGAATGGAAAATAATTTTCTCATCGTCGACGCCTTCATTTTCTTTTATTACAACAAACCTATGTTTTTGTCAGAGAGTTGGGAAGCGTAACTTAGTTTTCAGTATTCCTTGGCGTGTAAATTCTTTTTTCCCTGTAAATGACGGAATTTATTTATAATCACTTCAATGGAAGATAAAATATTATATCGTTTAATGTAATGTCTCTGATTTCAGCTTGTGATTCTGTATAATCATTATTTGTTGTATTTAAACTCTATCTGTTATTGCTCTAGTAAATTACAGTCTATGTTATCAGTGTATGATTTAGGTCCCCGTAAGTGAAAGTTTCTTTTCGTTTCAATGCAAACAAGCATACAATAAAGTCTTTCCTGCAATACATTAGTACAGTAAAAGCAAATGGATTTATAACTTCAAACAAATAGAAAGAATAATTTCTGTAGCATCAGATATTACAATTTAGTGAATTATTTTTACACCATTCACTAAACTAATTTCTCTGGCTTTTTTTTTGTAATTTTGGTGTGTGTTCCAAAATATTTGTTAATAATAGAGTAACACGTATATTTTCATCTTTAGGTTGTGCTTGTAAATTTAAAAGTTCCATATATAAAGTTGTATATTATTTACCTTCTTCCAAATTTTCCATTTTTCTAAGAAAGCTTTTAATATACATTTTCCTTGAAACCCTTATACGAACTATTAACAAGGAATACACTGCCTAAAGTTTTAAGCGTTCTACTTTCATCGAATTGTAGTTTTTACCACGATTTCATCTCTTTGTAATTAGTATTTCCAATGGTACATTTTTTTCTCTGGCTTTTATAAATCAGCATATATCTATGTCCTTGTCCAGGTTTTACACTAAGTTTATTCAGGCGCTTAATAGGGCTTTTACACCAAGACTTATTTTCAATGGTTTTGTTTTATCACAGTCAAAATAAATATTTAAAATTGACATCTCGTAATTATATCTTATTTTAATATGTAAATTAGTAAATATTTGAGTCAGTTTTTAACTGAGGACTTTACGGAACACTTTGAATTGATTTAGTCAGAAATAGATTTTGATGCCCAATACGCCATCGTCTACCTCAATCTTTGTCACTGTCGAATGCGTTCATTCCGTCTCGTTTTCTTTTTTGTCTTTATGCCTATATAGTATTAGTGTGAAATGGTAAGAAAGTAATTCTACTTTTGCATTTATAATATCAGTAAAAATGTAGATTAAGGAATACCAAACGAAAACTTCCTTACGTAACTCATCTGTACCATCCGCGATAAGGAATGTATGACTTTATCCGAATACACGAAGAAAATTGAATTTTCTCTGAACATATCTCGTTACTCGTGCTTTGAGTCGCTTTTGAGGGAAGTATTGCTTTTCAACTGATTCTGTCAGGCAAAGGGTAGCCTTGGGACAATATGCATAATGATGTCACCTGAACGACTTGTGTAGAATTGTTCAATCAATAAAGGGTATTGTTATTTGTTATAATAAATATGTATTTATTACACCTATTGAAAAATAATAGGTGACCAAAATTTTGTTATGCTTTTTCGTACTTTTGAAGCTTGAACCTTTCGAACAGCTCTCAAAGCCATTGGTCTCATCAGCAGAAACATCTGTAATTACTCACCCACCAATTCACACTGTGCGCAAATACCAAAGATATTATTGGGCTGATTAGTGGTGATGATGTGGAATTAGCAAAACCTATTTTAACTAGCTAGTTTGTTTACAGGACCCTTGCTGTCTGGAATCAGTCCAACAGTCATCCGTTGTTCACAGAGTCAGATGCCCGCTACCATCAGCTAGCTCTCACTAAGATGAGGAGACTGCTCTACTTAATTTGTGCTATTACAGTTGTATCTGTGATAAGTAAGCAATCTTTAAATTATTTGCTTTACGAGAAAGGAATAGGAAACCAATTTCGTAATATGCAATACTGATACAATAAAGTATTGTGTAAGAGGTAACTTTGGAAGTACTGAACTGATAATGAAAACTATTTTACCTACGGGAAGCTACATTATACGCGATTAATTGCAAACGCTATCTTTTGTGAATTTTACCGAAGAGTTATTAATGGATTACCAAAAATAACCAGAGCTCATCCATTGAATGGGTTAAATATCTTTTCCACATCTTATTTATTTTATTTGTTAGCGTAGTGGCATCAATACCGAACGTTCTTCAGTATTATGGGGCTCAGTGTAGCCATTATTACTCATTGACAGAATTCTCAGAAAATGCCCACAAACAAAGTGACCTATTAGTATAAGGGTATATAGATCTTAAAATAAAATGGGCCATTTAACTTAGCACTTGATTCAGAGTGATTTTATTTTCTAAGAACTATTCCCAAAAAAGGCATAAAAGAAATAAATGACTAGCTCAAGTAAAAATACATTAATTTTTAAGGCGAGCGTTTGACGGTAACCTCGCATCAGAGAGAGGAGCCTTAGTCTCACATCTCCCCACATCTGGAAGATTTTATATAATCTGTTAAATTACAATTCAAACTTCAACTTTTCGTACTATAATTCAAATAGTTTATCATCAAGTAGTCTCTACTTCACTTTAAGTTTTTAACAAATCGTCTTATTCCGCAGAATACATGCATGTGTTTATATTTTTTGTTTTCAAAGTATTTGCAGAACTTTATATAAATTGTATATCAGTGTTTTAACTTGACCCTATACATTAACATCTCAGTAGGAGAGTTTCCCGTTTCTCCTATACAAGATCCACTAATATTTTATTCAGGAAAGGAAACGACGGTGCGATTCTTTACTTGGAAACAATTATTTATTTATTCATTGTAAGGCGTTGCTGAGCTTAACAAAAGAAAGTTAAACTCCATCATCTTTTTGTTGTTGCGTAGTACTAAAATGGAGTAAGGCTTTCAATTTCACATGAAAACATTTAGTTTACGGATAAGTGATTGCGAAAAAAGATATGATGTTACTAAGTCATATATTTATTTGATCTCATCTTAAAAGGTACTCGAAGAAAGAATAATAATAAGACAAAAATACATCACTGTAATAATAAAAAAAACTTATTGAGATTTTTGGATTACCTAATATTGTTCCAAAAATATCTAATAAAATTTTTAGAATTTAGTAGTTTACTCTGCTATTGCTAAACTAACTCAAAGACCAAGATTTTTGAAAAAAAATTTAATTGACGAATACGTTTCTTTAACGCTTCTGATTATTCCAGGCTGGGTGACGTTAACTTTCTTTGGCGAGTCAGTTCGGATGATAGCTAACAAAGAAACAAATGAAACTTTGACTGAGCCTGTTCCAAGATTGCCCCTTAAGGCTTGGTATCCGTTTGATGCCATGAGTGGCAGTATGTACATCATTGCTTTCGCATACCAGGTATTTTGTGACTCAGAGCAAAAGATGATTTTTTACACCACACAATCAACAAGCAAAATTAAGAACTCTTAACACTGGCACGTGAGAAAATAGATAGTATCTATATGACATGACAGTACATTTTGCGTTGTCGTGCTGTACATAATATTAGGATTCCTCACATAAAACTAAAATATATTAGCTTCAAGCTGTAGATACCTAATTATATTTTTATTAGTACAATGGCGTCTTGATGAGACTTTTCTATTATTTTGAAATGTATAACAGTGTCAAAAAAGGAGCTAATAAAATACTTACCAATTTTAAAACTTTGCGAGTTTATCATCTTGACACTAATCAATCCGTTGATATTTTTAAAAGTACAACAATAAGTCGTTCAAGTACATAAAATTAATTCTTATAACAAGTTGAAAGTTTAAAATAGGAACTTATGTTAATAAAGCGCGGTCATCTCTCAACGGCAGGTTTCGTTTAGGTCGACCTCTGTGAAATTTTGACCACAAGGTGTCTGAGTGAGTGAGTGAGGTGGTGATTTAAACCACTGGGAATCTGAGTTGAAAGTTCAACGATTCCTGTGCTTCAGTTAAAGAGATTAATCGCTATATTTTTATATGCAATTTATGTAAAATCATTCATAAATACTATTACAAACAATACACTATTGTATAATCTATTTCTAGCCAGTTTCTCGTATTCTAGTTCTGTTCATAGTAGTTTTCTCATAAAAAGGCGATACCTAATGCATCGGGGATAAAGGAAAATGCGAGTTCGAGATGTGAGCTTTTAAGTTCACGTTTAACTATGCTTGGTAGCTATAGAACTAGCGGTATGAAACAAGTTCGCTCTTTGCAGTACGTACTTATATATAACTGCTAGCGACCTCCTTTGGTTGAGTTTTTCTTGAGGGAATTTTATAATTTTCTTGGCATATTAGTCAGTGATACTTCAGCAATTATAATTTAGATTTGCATAAAACTACTTAATGAGTCTTGTTAGAATTTTTTTATTATAAAATACTCTTTGTACACATCTTTGTAAACATTTCTATAATGCCATTTGATTAAATTTTTACTTAGAACTTTTGATTATTTTTTTCTTCTTTACAATACGTTTAGTGATTTTTACGTTGTTCTGATCAAAATTAAGTATGCATTAGAAATATGATTCAGTGTAGTCTTCATTTAATTTTATATTGATCAATGTTTGTGTATCTACTTGTAATATTTTCTAATTATAAGTAATAAATTTTATGTGTTCAAAGATATGGGAGCTGCCCTTCTCCCTGACAACTCTAGATTTAAAAATTAATCTAAAACAAAATTTACTTTTTAAAACAAAATTTACTTTTTAAATCTAGTTTATCTATTATGTTTTATGATGATCACAATTGTTTCATATACAACTAATAACTTACAAAGAAAACAATGTACGGATGCAGGTTAGCGCACACGTTAGTTTTTCTTTGCATTTTTGTCCTAGGTATATTGGCTTTTATTCTCAATGGCAGTCGCTAACCTGATGGATGTGATGTTTTGCTCGTGGTTGATATACGCATGTGAGCAACTGCAACATCTGAAGGCTATCATGAAACCATTGATGGAACTCAGCGCGTCACTTGATACCTATCGGCCGAATACTGCGGAGCTGTTCCGCGCTTCGTCTACTGGTATGATTTCATCTTTTTAGTCAGTTGTTAAATCTACACATGAGTGATCTACTCACTGATTCCATGGTTTAGCCATTATTTTTTGGTAATCAGTGATTCCAATATCAGAGTTGATGCTTACAAAAAGCTTTAAATTATGAAATATGAACAAGTAGTAAATTAGTCATAACAAATATTAGCAAAGTCAAAGTCAAAATAATCTTTATTCAAATAGGCTTCTTTAAAGTACTTTTGAATCGTCCAACATTGTTTTCCCTACCACTCGTTCAGGACGTCTTTTGACGTGTACATCACTATTTATAGAAAACAAACTTATTTTTTTTACGAACGTACATTAAGTTCCCGTTTATGTATAGAGCATTATGTCTATTCCTTAAGTTTCTCCCTTAAAGAGTCCCTAATTTTAAGATTATAAAATTTCCCCACAATAGGATTTCCGTACGGCATTACACTATGAAAGTAACTGAAGTATAATAATCTGGCAGTATCTATGTCAATTAAATGACTCGTATCTATATTACGGCATATGCTGCAGATTAAATCTATTCGACAATTTATTAATATATGGACACCACTGTTGTTTAGAATCTAATGTTATTCCTAAAAATACTGTAGTATCCACAAGACCCATGTTCTTATCTTTTATATTCACATTTATATCTTTTTTAACATTAGGTAGTACATTTAATTTTTCCTTCGTTAAGGAGAAGATTATTTACATTAAATAAATGTAATACTTTAGCGATAGAATTGTTTACATCGTCATTTAGAGGTAGCCCTCTTTTAATTTTAAACAAAAGTCGTGTCATCCGCAAACTTAATAATTTCGTGATTATCCCTAATGAAATAAGGCAAGGCATTTATGTTAATTAAAACAAGATAGGACCAAGTATTGAGCCCTGTGGAATACTCATCTTAACTTTTGATCCACGGGCACTTTTGCCAGTGATATCAACCCTCTGCACTCTGTCAGTCAAGTATGAGACAGTAAAATCCATCTAATGAGTTATCTCTAAATCCATAATAATTAAGCAATAGAGCTATAATCTTGATTATGTTTTCACCGTTAAATGAAAAAGTAGCACGTCATTCTGATTGGCGAGATTCTGTATTTGATTTTCGATTGATACAATTTTAACGAAGAATATTTTTTTCTCGTCCTAGTCTATATGATTATTTCTTTGTTCTTTCAACTTCAACTGGAATTTACACATACATATATTACTCAATGTATGTATGTGGTACCATCTAATATACCTAAAAAACCTGGAGGATATACCTAGAAGGGTAAATTAAATCATCTGTTGTTATCAGAAAAATCGGAAAAAGTCCCCGATCCTGTAGACCTAGATATACGTGGGATATACTCTACACAACAGGACTTCGGCATGACGCTACGTGGCGCTGGTGGAAGACTGCAGACCTTCGGTCAACCAAACCCTAATAATCCTAACGGACTCACTCAGAAACAGGAGATGCTGGCTAGATCAGCCATCAAGTATTGGGTTGAGAGGCATAAACATGTTGTAAGGTAAGGTTTTTTGTAGGTTGTGAACATCACTCATTAATTTGTATATGTCTGTTCAGATGTACAGACATTGTACGGATTTGTAAGGATGTACGTAAAGTAATTTGACGATGGGTGCCTATAGTAGTTAGTGCATGTCAGCAGTATGAAAAGTTAATGACAGGCCGTTCACTTCCGATCTCATAAAGATTCGTACCTATGTTTAGATGCTCTATATATTCAGTACAATCAGACACCAGTCTCCCACGAGTAACCTGATTTTCTGAAATATATTGTTTGTATTATTTATATAAATAAGCTTTATTCCAAAGCCATAAAATCAAAAAAGAAAAAATCTCTCCTCTTTGCTCCCAGAGCCTTTTAGAAGGTTACGTCATTATGTTTAGAGATTTAAGTCCTGACATCATTATACAAATTATTTTACGATCAAGGGATTATTGTAGGTTTTACTACAATCAAAAACATTTGTCAACAGTTGTATCTAAAATTATATAATGTAACTTAAATAGGAATATATGATTTGTAAAAACAATTCACTAATGCGAATATATACTATGAATCAATAAGGAATTATCTATATTCCATCAAAATAACTGCACTTGGCGTGGGTGGGTTATACCTATCATTCGAGATTATGCAATTCGTACAATTGAAATAAAACTTCTTTTAAGGAAGTTCGTTTAATTTAAAATTTTTACTTTAACACGTAATCTCTTCATAATAATAGATTACAAAGTAGGTAGATGTTTAGAGTAAATTAAAATAATTCGTATAAATAAAATTTATCATTATTTGCCATCAATAATTAAATTTTCATTATTCACCAACAATCTTGTGTGATTTAAGTTAACTTATACTTTACGCTAACTCTAATGAATTGACCGTTAATTAGATGACTAACTTTCGTTATATGGAAATGTAATAAAATAAAGCTACTCAGCTAATCGGAGTTTAACCATACAATTGAATGGTTTTGTTCAATCAAGGGCTGGCCGTCCAATTTGATGGTTGATATAACCAATTTGCTGCGACATAGACATCAATGCCGCAAATTAAGTTAATAGACCTACTGTAACGGTGCGTCGTACTACCGATCTTTTATTTCATCCTAGGTTTCCGCATGCAAACTTTTTGTCTTCGATCTTTAACATCATTTCTTTATATTATTCATTTTTCGTAATTTGAAATTGTAAGTAATTCAATATGGTCTTTGTGAATATCAGTTCGTAAAAAAATCATCTAGTGAGAACATAATAATTTAATCATATAAATCTAATAATAATAATAAAGTTATTATAATTTAAATAAGAAACATATAAACGTATATTTTCGTGAAATATCTACTCAGTTTTATCTATTACGGAAAACCTAGAATGAGTTTTTCTTATTACTTTCTAATAAATCAAATTTTCAAGCTTAGTCAGCCTTTTATTCATTTGCCTAAGCAACGAATCCGTCATACTACATATCTCATACTACGAATATTAGTTGAAAAAAACTGTACTCCTACCTAGATCTTACTTTTTTTAATGTTGTCTTAATTCATCAGCATTTTTTTTATACGAGTAGTATATGCAAAGAACAACCAGTTTTTTTTAAGTACAATTAGATTGGGTTTGTTACACGTGATGTTATAATTAGGTCAATAACTTTGTTTACGTACCTACGTATTTTCTCAGGATTTTTTTTATGTATGATTATTTTATAAGACAAAGTGTCCGAACTAATAATAATAATAAAGGTGGTATTCATAATTATTAGTAATTATTTTTTTTTATAATATCTTCACGTGATAAAAGATACTCATTTTGTTTTTAAAACTAAATAAGTAATTGTGGGATAAATTGATGGGTTAGAGATAGGACCATATCACAAATGGCTTCGAGAAAATGGATGATACGGCCGTCCTCCTACTAGCTATTTTGCTGGACTTGGCGGGGACACTTCCGTGTCCCTAGACCTTGATTTAAGTATGGCTCAATTTTTAAGATTCTTTGTATCAGTTAGGTACTCAGAAGAATCACAATGTGCATTGTAGCTGTTGTCATGCCCTGGCTTGATAATGATTCCCTTACAAGCCACCAATAACTAGAATAAGTAGTTGGTGAACTTCACAAAGGCGAGAATACAGGATATCAAAGATATGTTGGCCAATTTGAATATTTTCTTATGCATCTGAAGCTATTTAGGAGTGAAAAAAATTAAATAGAGTTGTTACTTTATTTAATTTTTTTTAATTACCCTGAGTAAAGACTCAGGGTAATTTTTCTAAGATATCAATATTTAGCAAGCATACTTTTTATTAGTACAAGAAGGATATAAGTTTATATTTGGTTTGTTACTACTTAATACAATAATTATGAAAAATTAATTAATAATTTAACACTCTTTATCTGAAGGTCATAAAATTACGAATCAACTTTTGATTAATATCAATAAAACAGGAAATACAAAAAGTTTGTTTCTAAACCATTGTCATAATTGTTGAGTAAAATAGCAACTGAGTTTAAGTGCTAGATACCACCACTGCACTGCATTGCTGCACTAAATATATGCAACAGCTGTTGTTTGCCGCGACTTCACTTACGTAAATTATAGCCTATATCACACGTTGATACTTCGTACATTGGAGAGAGAATTATTAAAACCGGTCTAGTAGTAAGTATCGGCGCCTATTCAATGTAAAGAAACATACCATTTTTCTCTTTATAATATTAGTACCTCGTGTGTTCATAAGTTTTGAGACAAACTTTTTACTGAAAAAATAAAATAAAATTTTAGTGTTATTTTTTCTTTTTACCGATTTTGAATTTGGAATGTTAACTTTTAGTTTATTTGTGTCGCAACGCAAATTCATTTGTTTTTCATTTTCTTGTGATGGAGAGAACGAAACGTACAAACGTATTACGTACCACTGTCATTTCGTTATTTAAGGCGAAAAAAAAAGCCGATGCAGATTTTCCGCGAGTTGAAAAATTTTCCTGTAAGCTGTAACTTCGTTATTTACACAATACAGAAGTACAAGGAGACAAGTTCTCTGCAAGATCGACAAAGGAGTGGTCCGCCACGCTCTGTGAGGACACCATAAAGAATAATCCAGCGGGGTTATTCTTTATGGACTGAATTATAAATAAACAAAGATTAGTCATCATCCATAAAACCTACCGAAAAAGATTACCTATCTTCCGTTCTTGTAATGATTTTTATTATTCTGACGTTTCTTTTTTGTTTATTCAATATTTCATGACGCAGTCTTTTGGCTTTTGGTGGGATTTTCATCCAGTGTTTGCTGAATAAAAAATATTGTGTTATTTACCGTTGATTAATTAAAAAAATCTTAATTATAATTTATAAGTAAGAAATATTTAAAGACTACTTAAGAAGTTAAGTAGCAGATGCTAAGGCGGCCCCTAGATGCTACAATAACATTATACAATATATTTAATGTACGATAAGATTGAAAGGCGTCTAAAATACAAACGATTAATTATATTGCACAATAAACGAACAGCGTAATCTTTTCGTGTTCAGTCGTAGAATAGTGTTGATCCCGTTTGCACCGAGCGTAAGCATCGTGTCCGAAAAAGATTTAGCTGCTGCTGTAGTTTTGTTGCTTGTGGCTAAACGTAAACGTAAAAGAACACGTCGGTGGTCAAAAGTTTGGTACAAGGAAAGGCAGAATTACACTCACGAAAATCTTTTAAAAGACGTGATGTTAACTGAGGAAGCACAATTCAAGAATTTTGAACGGCTGAACTTGGAACAGTTTCAAGAGGTACTAGAATTGGTGACGCCATTGATTGAGAAAAAAAAAATACAATCATGAGGGAGGCAATACCACCTTTTCAATGACTTTCAATAACATTACGGTATCTAGCGACTTAAAATTTAAAATTTCATAGTGCTATTTCCCCACAAAGTCTTTCCTTAATAATATATTTTTCCGCCATTTTTGCACGTGGGCACGTTCTCCTCGTCAAGACGAAACACAGACTAAAAAATATTGCGCAATATTGACCCTACATAATGCAATGGAAAAATATGGTGTAATAAAAATTAAACTCGCTCAAACTTTTGTTCCATCATTGCGCAATCTTCAATATTAAACCTAAATGGTCAATAATATTGCACAATTCGTAATACTGCGCAATATAATTCATCGTCTAGAGACTGCCTAAGACGTAGATTGGTTGTTATTTATAAGTACGGCTGAAGTTTTTTGGTTTGACAATTCAATAATAATAATAAATACTCTTTATTGTACAAACCATATTAAAAATTATAAGCACAAATATAAATCATTACATAAATACTTACAAAAGGCGGCCTTATCGATTTCTTCCAGGCAACCTTACATTGAAAATTTATATTTTTATACAAAATATTTTTCAGACTTTAATTCTAATAACAAAATTGCTTAGTTCTTTAATATTTTTATTATCGATATTATTATAGTTCACTATATTCATTTTGCATATTTGTAGTTTAAACAAACTTTAAATATTGCATTATTGGTTCCATAAACTCATAAGTAGAAATATACACATCAACATCGTCTAGGGATATTTTGTATAAAGTTCTAAATTCAAAAAATACTGGCCGTTTTTAAAATCTTTTGATAAAAACTTATTTTGTACGCGTTATTTTTGATGATTCCAAATTTGAATTAAAAAAAAATAATTTCAAACAATAGATTTGCGCGGCATAATTCAAGGGAAGTTCGAAGTTTTCAATTTGCCTACCATAGTTTTTGAAGATTTTTGGTGTTAATCGAAAGTTTTGAAACAAGTTAGCTGTATTAATTTGAATTGGAATTTGTGCTACTGTATCCATTATGCAGCGACGCCATTTAACAAGAGAGGAAATTTTGAGAACAGTTGGCATGCTCCAAGCTGGGGCTACTCAACGGAGTATTGCTAAGGACATCGGAACAAAACAAAACGTGATAACACGGTTATGGTCACGCTAGGCGGGAAGCGCATGGTTATGCGACAAGACTGATT